TCGGGCGAGTACACGTCCTTGTTAACGCGCTCGTAATAGATGTACGTTCCTATTCTGTGTTATTGGGATTACCTTGGGCGATGGCGGTAGGCGCACGTCTGCATTTCAATTCGAGACAACTGGTACTCACACAAACCGAGGGGAAACCTCAAACTGTTCCTTTGCGAGTTTCCACCTGAACGATAAAGCGGATCCCTAGCCCGACCCAAATAGGGATGATTCGATGCGTTGATCCCGATGAATGCTCTCCTTCACGCCTCGGAGATGGAATCAGGGAGCAAGGATACGAAGAAAAGATGCCCAGCGAAGAAGAATGGAGGCACCTGGTCGAACTTTTCGAACGAGAAGTTCCCGAGGAATTTCAAGTGTACCCCGACACCACCCGAAGCTTTCACGTGGACGTCAGAGACAGCGCGTGCATGCCTCTGACGACCCGGGTTAGTCCTTCAATCCTTCTCGGGGAACCTATATTGCAAGTTTTCGATCTGGCTGATGATTTGGAACCCCCTCGTGCCTTGTACGAGGGAGCTCTCTCCTTACGAACACGTTATCAGCAAACGGAACAGTATGTAGACGTTTCTGTTTTTCCACCCCGATCGTTACTAACGACAGGAGCCACCATCGATTTGATTAAACAAGAGGTGGAAGCACCGGTAAATGATGTACCTAATCTGATGCAAGAAATGACGGATCTAACAGGGCTAACTGTGGAACCAACCTCGGTTGGTTCAGAAACTGCCGCTGAAACTAAAGAAACAGAGATGATCAGCCCTGCTGAGTTCCAGACGATAGCACCTGTCTTCTCTGTTCGCACCAGTAGTTTCGTTTTTTCTAGTGTCCATGATCGACGGTAACGACCGGCTGATTGGATTGATATGCCTCTTAAGATTTCCTGGGAATCTACAATCACCTTGCCAGGCGACGTTCCCGCGGAACTTCGGAAATCGTTAATTCGTGTGTTAAATGGCTACGAAGAAGTATTGAGCATATACGATAACGATATCGGTTTAACTAATGTGATTGAGCATGCCATTCTCACGGGAGATCATCCACCCATTAGCTGCGCTCCCTACCGATACTCCGCAGCTCAAAGAACTGCCGCTTTTCAGCGGATTAAGGAGTTCGAAGCTAATGGATGGATTGAACCTGCTATAGGTCCGTGGTCTTTTCCCGTAGTAATCGTACCCAAAAAGGCCGGAGGGATTCGTATTTGTATTGATTATCGAAAATTAAATGATATCACGATTAAAGATGTGTACCTCCTCCTTCGGATTGATGAATTGTTGGATGCGATTGGGAGTGCTCGATTTTTCAGCAAGTTTTATGTTCGCCATGGATTCCATCATCTCCTTGTCCGAGAAGAAGATCGTCTGAAAACCACATTTGTGCTTTTCGAAGGTACGTGGCAATGGATTCGATGCTCGATGGGTATCTGCAACGCCCCTGCGACTTTTCAGCGGGCCATGAACATGGCTTTTCATAATTTCGTGTGAAAGACTCGCCTGGCGCAGAGCATCATCAACTACTATGTGATTGTGTACATGGATGACATCTTGGTGTATTCGAGCTCCTACGAGGGACACGTGCAGCACATCGAATGGGCACTGCATGCGTTACGAGATGCAGGTTTCAAGGTGGCTCTTGAGAAGTGTCAGTTTTTCCTCACCACCATTTTCTTCCTGGGGCACGTGGTGACAGACAAAGGACTCCAACCAGAGCCGCAGAAGGTGGCAGCTGTCAGGGACGCGCCGGTGCCCACGACTATTACGCAAGTTTGCGCCTTTCTGGGCCTAGCCTCGTACTACCGAAGATTTATCAAGGGCTTCGCGGCGATTGCGGGACCCCTCACAAATCTGTTGCGCAAGGATCCACCGTTGATCCGGACACTGGAGTGCGATCAAGCGTTTTTCAAACTCAAGGCTACTCTCATTTCGGCTCCGGTCCTTATTAGACCGGATCCCGGAAAACCTTTTGTTTTCATCACCGACTGGCAGCCAGAGGCGATTTCGACGATCCTTGCCCAGGTGGGACTGAGCGGACTCGAGAGTGTAGTGGAGTATGTGTCCAAATCAGTGCCCGCCTGCAAGCGCAATTACGCCGCTCCAACGGGTGAATGCTATGTGGCTCTCTGGGGAATCAGTCACTTCCGTGCTTACCTATACGGGCGAAAATTCACCCTGGTGACTGATCATGAGCCCCTGTTGGCTCTGAAGAAGTCGAAGGATTACTCGGGCATGATCGGGCGATGGCCAACGGTGCTGTAGAGCATGGACTTTGACATTCGTCATCGAAAGCACGAGAGACACGGGAATGCGGACGGACTGACATGACTGCACCGGCCTGAGAAGGTTCCAAAGGGTGAGGAGGTAATTCCGTGGAATGAACCCGAACAAGAGATCGGACCTCGGTACGACCAAGTGGAGATCTTATCGAAGCAGTAAGTGACACGAGGACTAATTGTTATGTTTTGCTCTCTCTGCATCCCCTCCTCCTCTGCCATCCTGACTACCCCACTCGCCTCCGCAATCTTTTCTTCTCCTACTAACTCTACCCCTCTCACTTCCTCGGCTTTCTTCGCCACCCTTACCGATAAATTCTGCTATTTTTGCACGTGTATTGCACGGGTTTACGGGGTCAACTGTCATCCCTTCGAGACCGGATTTGTCGATTGGGTAGAATGTGTCACCTGTGTCAACCGTGCGCACGGGGCTTGCGTTCGATATCGGACGAGTAGCAAGGAATGGAGGTGCCCCCTGTGTAAAACGAACAAGCTCGCCACGGAGGTTCGATTCGAGGCCGCCCATACGGACGGCCCTGAATACGACGAAAAATACCGACGAGCGGAGGTTTGGACGGATAAAATTTTATTAGCAAAATTAGCGGGATTATCGTTGGGCCACCTCACCAAACACGACAGACGTAGGGCAATCGAGGGATCTCGGGACTATCGATGGATCAACGGTCATTTGGAAAAGCGTAAAACTGATGGGTCAGGTTCGTGGTTGACAGTTCCCCATCCATTCCAGAGATACGATTGGATTCGATCTGCTCACGAAGAACAAGCCGCTCATTTCGCGATACGTGTCACGGAGGCAACTGTAGACCAGAACCGATGGTTCTGGTCCAATATACGAGATGACGTCAAGTACATTGTCGCTAACTGTCTGGTCTGTGCCGCTGATCTCGCTCCTATACGGGGACCAAACACGATCGTACCCACGGAAGTAGAGCGTCCTTTCCAGCGAGTCAGTATGGACACGACAGATATTGACGTGCCACCTGGCCCAAACCGCTGTGAATATTCCATCCTGTTAGTTTTAATTGACCATTTTTCCAAATACATCGAAGTCTATCCTTGTAAGACCCAAAAGGCCGCCGAAATAGCCACATACATCGAACGATTCCCTTATACCCAGCTAGATACGGAAGAAATTATAACCGACAATGGGTCGGAATTCAAACGAGAGGTAGAGGAACTGCTTGCGCGAAGGGGCGTCACGCTCCGACATACGGCACCCCACGTGTCCCAGTCGAATGGGTTGGCCAAGAATGCCAACTGTATGATTAAAACCGCCCTTCGCAGGAACTTAGCGGCACACGACACGCGTCCTTGGCCCGAGATCGTATATCAGCTCGTCGGGATCCACCGGGCCACCCCTCATGAGTCTACAGCCTCCACTGTGTCGATTACCGAGGTAACTCGGAAATTGCCGAAGCAGGGGGTAGAGACACGCGTGCAGCTCTCAAGGCCAAGGCCAAAAGGTACACCGAATTAACGGAACGGGCCGTCCCGAAGCTAGCCCGAAAAAGACAAAGGATGACCTAACTGGCCCACGGGAGACAGGTCCGTAGCTACGAGTCCCGGAATGGAAATGCTGGGCCCCAGTACCAATATAAATTAGGGGACCTAGTGCAGGTACGTAAATGTGCACGCGACCGAAAACTCGCTCCCAAGTTCTCTGGCTGTTTTCTCGTTGTCGAACTCGGACCCAACGGCGCCAACACGGTGCGCATCGCCCCTGAGGCTAGTGCCATTCATAGCTCTGTCCCCATCGTCCGGCATACCTCCTACCTCCGTCCCCTTCCTCCTTCCAATCTCCCTCCCTCTTCTTCCTCGAAAAGCGAGGAGAACGACGACGACCTAACTTTCTTCCGTCTTTCTCTCTCCTGTCTTTCGTCCTCCTCTCCGACCTCGCCATGAGTTTTATCACGGAGCGGGTTCTTGACATTCAGTTGTTGCAACCACGTGGCCACATCTCAGAGATTCGGCAAGTTTGTCACCCTCGGCTCAATGCAGATCTTTGGCGTTTGGTGCGATTCTTCTGCGACGAAGGTATTTGTGTCGCCGCCGCGTTTCGAATTGAAGGAAGTCCTCGCGCAATAGTATTCGCGGAGGTTACCACAGTTCATCGGCGAGCGGGTCCCAGAACGAGCCACGTCACCACGGTGGCGGCATTCACCGACGACATCAGCTCGGTCAATCCACTGTGGCATACCGCGATCTTGGCCTCGCTGCGCGAGTGGACGGAGCAAGTGTCCAACGTGTGGCAGCACGTCCTCGCCCGACAGGGGTATAACATCATCCCGATCTTTGCATCGAATCTTGACGGTATTCGCCGATCACAGCGCGAGCGGCCAGTTGCGATCCCGACCATCGTCCCCTTCCCCATCCCCAATGAACCACGCTGCTCTTCTCGCTCCTCTCTCAATCTTTGGTCTCCCCTCTCTCTTCCCCACCTTCTGGCAATCCGATCTTCACCCTTCTCTTTCCTTCTCGTTCGAGCCTCTTTCAGTCCCTCTTATCAATCCTAGACATTGGCGATTGTGGCGCGAAACTTTTGAGGAGTTGTCCTTTTGCTTGACCAGAGTACAGGTGACGTGGACGGGCACTAGTGAACATCCCACGTAAATCGAGAATCCGGAGCTGCTGCTCATACAGGCTTGGAGGACTAACGTGGAAGGAGATCTTCTTGGCTTTCTCTTCGGATCGGTACGGCCAGGTCGACGCCACCTGATTACGCAGGAGCTTATCGCACCGATCGTGCAATTGGCAGACGATCTCTCGCCCGACATCTATTTTCAAAGTGACGACAGTCCTGCTCCGCACATTTTCGAGCGATCATTAGATCCGTACCTTCAGTGGACTGTGTGCTTGGAGGAACCTAGGGACGAGGATACCCTACCATCGCGGCAGGAGTATCTGAAGCCGTACGAGATCATCCCTCACGCCTTCTATTCGAGGGCAGAGGAAGTGGTGATCGACAACGACGAAGAAGAAGAAGACGACGACGAGGAAACATCGGAGGAGGGAAGCTATAGTGAACATAGCGAGGGCGAGCTGAGCAAAGGAGAAGAGGAGGAAGAAGAAACCGGATCCGAGTGGGAAGCCTTGCTGAAGGAAGCGACGCGTACGGGAACGGAGGCGGAAGATCCGGAAGAGGCGCGAAAGCGCGAAGAAATTGCCACCGGGAAGCGCCACCTCAAGTACCGCGCGACGGAGACGGAGCCGATCCCCCTCCTCCTCCAGCCCCACCCGTCCCCCAGTTCGCCCACGTACCGATGCGGGCGATAGGCCTTCATCCTCGGACGCTCTCCCGCCGACCCTTTGACTTCCTCACCCTTGAGCAGATCCGTACCCCCGTCACCTTCCCTTCCCATCCTTTCCATCCCCATCCTTTCTGCGACTTTTATTCTACCCGTCTACTCGCCACCGTCCACCCCCACGCCTCCCTTCAATCCGCTGCCCCCACGTTCTGCTGGCATCTCCTTCTGTTCAGCGCTGCATGGGAGTGATGCAACGTGGTAGAAGTTTACTGCGTCGCCACGAGGACAATCCCCGCTTGCCGCCACTTCGAGATCTTTCTAGCGGCGCTCTTCCGCACCCTCTTTTCCTTCTATCGCGACTACCTCGCTTCCCTTCCCCGCAGCGACGATCATTTCCTACGCTTTAACCGGATCATCCGATATGAGGAGCTCCCGGTGAAGATGGAAGGGATGAATCGCTTCCTACCCCCACTTCCTCCCCGTCATCCCTGCGAGAAGCCTTCCATGTACTGCCTCTACTGGCCTATTCCAACCAGGCGGTAAATCCCACTCACTTGACTCGCCCTCTCCTTCCTCTCCTCCCTACATCGGCACGGATCAGTAAGCTTCGCGAAGATCACGCCATCGACGATGACGTCAACCTACGCGCTGATTCGACGGACGACAATGAACAGGGGTGCGGAGCACACGGAGATCAGGGGGACCATGATGGCGTCACCTGGACGATCTCCACGAGGCAAAGGGTTGCATATGACAGGGCTGCGGAGATCTTGCCACGAATGTTGTCGCCATCTCAATCGCGACCCAGTTATCGTTCCTTGTACTTCTTTTGCTCTAATAATATGCTTGGTTCCTCATGCACCACTCTGTTCTCCCCTCTTTCTTTCGCCATGCCATGCAATCAGGAGATCGCATAATTTTGGAACCCCGTGCGCGGCACATATGTGACGAACCACTTCCCGAACCCGTGCCATCTTTCGTACCCTTTCTTTTGCTTGTATCATACCATCCCCAGGAAAACCCCGTTTTGATTTCTTGCTCTCGGGTGCCGCATTTTCCTTTTTTTTTAGAGTTTTTTCGACTTATGGGTTCTGTTTTTCGTTTTGCAAAGTCGAGAAACACATGGGAATTTACGTCCGCCTTAGCGAGTGCACTGGGAATTGGGCTCAGCGGTTGGGAATTCCGGGATAAGCAGAACTTCGACGTGTCCTTTTCGAGTGTGTGAATGTTCTTGGTCGCGTCGGAGAAAACTTTCGGAATTTCGTCCGGATACGAATAGGCGTAGGATTTTCTTTTCCCGTGTCGCTCTTTCGCGCGCGGATATGGTGATTTCAATTTTGAATTAGGATAGAAGCAAGTTGTAACTGTTTCGGTGCTTTTTTCTCTTTTTTTGTTGACGGCCTCGTGCATGCAAAGCTTCCTCCCCTCTGGCCCCCTATAGCGCTCCCTCCTGCGCTCCCTTTCCTTCGCCCTCCTCTTTCTCTCTCCCCGTAACTGTTTCTTTCTCTCCTCCCCCTCCCCCATCTTGCTGTTTGCGCGCCCACTTCTCTTTCTTGATCATTTGAATCTTGGACCCCTCTTGCACCACTTCTCGCGCCTTTTCTCTTCTCACCCTCTGAGTCTGGCGCACGACGCCCGGTCGATCCCCCGATAACTCCCGCTCGCCAATCAGGTGCGTGGATCGGTAGGACCTTCCTATCGCGCGACGAATCTGATTGGTTGAACCTTGAGTTTCGAGGGATCAACATGGCGTTCTCGAAGCGCTCTTCTCAAAGTCTTCTCCTCCTTTTCCTCCTACACCTCCGCTTTCCCGTCGTTCTTTCCCCCTTCTATCACCTTTATCGCAACTATAAAACCCGCAAGCGCGCCCGCAAATCTCTCTTACGTTCTCGACTCCTAAGCCAGCTTCAGGGAAGCAGTGGCTAGACAGAGTGTGTTGATGCGAGTCGGAAAGTCCTGTCGGGCTGACGATAGGCTGGCCGGTTGCGCGTCGGATCGCCACGACGGACTGTGGGATCTGGGCGAACCGCGTCGAGTTTACGATAGCGAGGTGACGATCGCAATGGTGGGAGTTAGCACGCGGCGGCTGGGATCGTCGGTGCGGGTATGAGGATCGATGATTGGAGTTGAGTGAGCAATTGGCCGTGAACCATATTGCAATTAACGCCGAATGCGCCTTTGTTGTTGCGGATCTTTATCTTTGGCGTGAGTGCATGGCGGTCATGTCGAATGTCTCTCTTCCATATCTGATCATCACCTATCTCGACTCTCTTTCCCCCTCACCCTCTCATTCTCTACTTTTGAATAATGGTGTGTCTCGATTGAATGTCTCTCGCTTTCTCTCCTGAATAGGAGCGCATCGGTGCGCTTCCCTTTCTTAAAAGAACTTCTTCCGGAACTCTTCCATTAGTTTCCTGGGTAATCCCCGCCTTCTTGTCTTGTGAACGGTGGATGCGTGTGTACTGTGCAATACGACCCATCTTTTCCGGTGCATGTCTCATTTTCGCACCTTCCACAGTGAATGCATGTATGGAAATGTGCGACT